ATATATATATTTATAATGAACAAAATAACAGTAATAAATAATGCTAAAAAATTGTAACAACAATGTATACCATAGCAATTTGATAATTTTCTATAGAGCCAAAAAGGATGCAGCATGCTTAAATGAACATCATACATCTTTCCCTTAAAATAAATAACTTAAAAGCTTGCCTGAAAACTCTGCAATGCTTATTTTTCTGCGTATAAAACTGTACAAACAGACAACATAAAACAGGCTCATGGTAAATTACACACAAGTGTACAACAACATCTACATTAACAAATATTCCTTACATATATACAAAAAATATGTTGTCTACTCTGTGATATTTAGCTTAATTTTAGAGGGTAAACTATTGTAGTAAACATGCAGTAGTTGAAGCACTTTGGTCTTTTGGTCCAAAAAAATCATCGTCTGTAAGAGTCCAATAACAGTAAAGCACAGTGGCAAAATGAGGAAATTACTGAACATGAAATCATCATGATTAAATATATAATTTTATAACATGTTCACTAATTTCCTTAGCTCCAACATGAAAGGTGAAGTGGGTCATTTCTGCATCATTAGCAACACCAAACAGATGTTCTCCATCTGCCATTAGTTGAAAAACTAATAGCTCCGCCCATGTCAGGCTGCTTAAAGTTCTTAAAGTGCCACAAAGCCAGTGTTTTCACTCTTTAAGAAGGCAACATACAGATGCCTTATAATTGTGTTTTCACATTACACCTGAAGAAGGAGTAATGTATCAAAAATGATGCACTTCATCTTTTATGGAAGGGTGTGAGGAAAGTTCAACTTGCTGTTGTATTTGTAGTGGGTTTATCATTATACAATTTAAGAATAATGAAAAAACAAACAAACAAACAAAACAATGCCCAGAAAATAGCGCATTTGTGAACAATCATGAAGCACCAAGTCCAGTTACATTTAAAGTTTTATGGAATTAAACTTAATTTCTTAAGACTAATTCTTAAAGTAAGAGAGCCCGGTCTCATGAAAATGCGTATAAATAGTAAGCCAAATAAAAGTAAGAGTACTCAAACGATGAAAATGTCCCTAAAATATTTTCACCCTCAGGCCATCCAAGATGTGGATTTGTTTGTTTGTTTCTTTATCGGAGTAGATAAATAGAGAAATTTAGCATTACATCATCAATGGATCGTCTGCAGTGAATGGGTGCCGTCAGTATAAGAGTCCAAACAGCTGATGAAAACATCACGATAATCACAATAAGTCATGTAAGTAATCCACAAACTGAATGTTTGTAATAAACAAATCTATCATTAAAATCATACAATTTCTTCAGTGAAAAAGTCATCTTCAAAAACAGTCTACAAAAGCAAAAACAATGCAAAAGTTATGGTTTAAAGTTAAAACGCACAGCTTTTCACTTCATAAGACATTAATTGATGGACTGGAGTGGTGTGGATTACTTGTGGAATATCAGACCATGAGCATAAAAGAGCTTGGTCTTATAAAACAAAAAACAAAATAAATAAATAAATAAATAAATAGGCTACTTAAAATCAAGCACCATCACAAAAAAGTTTAACTTTTACACCAAATCAATCAATCAATCAATCAATCAATCAATCAATCACTATAATTTGCTAGTCTATATCACAGATAGAGGTCCAAAATCAGATTCTCACAGAACGAAACACGTCAAACCAAACATAACACGTCATTTTTACTACGTACATATGTACAAAGGCAAATGTCATTTCAAAAGCACTGCTGCAAAAGCTGTAGAAAAGAGCGATAGAGAGCGATAGAAAGGTATCTTGCAACAATCCATGACACGTCTGTGTGGAGCAGACGGGAAAGAGCATCGGAGCGTGATTATATTCAGTCCCTGGGTGGTTTTGGCCTAGTCTTTAGTCCTGCTTAATGGAACCCATCACAACCCTGGACACCGTCTAATAAGAGGGCACCATGTCTTTGATCACGGGTTCTCTGTTCAAATACGTTGCCCAGTAAACCAGGTTGAATGTCCCAAAGAGAACTGGGAACATGATACGGGATATGCGGTCGATTTTACTCACACTGTTGAAGGTTTTCTTCGCCACGGCTGGTTTCCCGTCAGCTTTGGCCTTACCCTGTTCAGCTACGCTTCCCTTGGCGATGGTGGGGAGGACGGTGTCCTTGGTGATGTTGGGGGCATAGTTCGCCACGGCGACGGCATAGGCGTTGTTCTTCTTGATGACTGAAGCTTTCTCCTTCTTCTGTAGGGAAAGCAAGAGTTTGTCACCTTTAAAATGGAATACATTTGTCTGTCCTGTTTGGAGTGCTTAATGCAGGGACGCGGGAAGTAGGGGTGCTGAGGGGGCTGCAGCACCCCCTGTTTTCACATGGTTGCAAATGCAACGCCAAGTTTGTTCATTTAAATTTATTCAGTTTTAGCATTTAAGAATTTATTTGTAATGATCTCTGTAATGTAAATTGTAAGTGGGCTATAATAAACCCATGTTTATCTTTATAAACATGATTAATTTGACTTGTGATGTTTTCTATATGGGATGATTAGTCTAATCCTCATGAACAGGTGATGCTAGCGCGTGGTATCAGACATGAACTGTACAGAATGCGAACAAGATTAACTTTAATACAAGGAGATAATGGCGCAAAAGCAAATATCAGATTTTTTTAAATGCCCATCCCAGCAAAAACTTTCCAAAATCGGCATCCAAACAACACCAGCCCCAGCACGAGCACCGATGTAAGTGAACCAGCCCCCCCCCTTTCACCCAACACGGACACACACAGCACCCCCAACCGAAAACATCTTCCCGCGCCCCTGGCTTAATGCAATTCTGTTGTCACAATTTGATTATGAAAGCGAGCGAAAACCATATTTTATAACCAATTTGGGGGGGTTAGCTACACTGCAATAAACATTAGTTTTTTATTTATTATTTCTTGTTCTCCTGTACAAAATATCTAAACATTCTTAAATCAAAATATATTTACTTGAGAAATACAAAAACTTAAAATATTAAGTATGTTTTCTAAAAAATGTATACAGATTAAGAAATTAATTTTTTTCTCAAAACTAGTAAAACATCTAGCAATGGGATAAGAAAAATGTGGGTTTTTTTTGCTTTGTTTTCTTAAGCTTCATTCATTCATTCATTCATTCATTCATTCTGCTATTGGCAGATATTTTTCTTGTTTTAAGCAAAACCTGCTTAATACATTTTTCAGAAATGACAAACTTTTCAAAGTAAAAAGTGTTGAAAATTAAAAAAGAAACAAACAAACAAAAAACAACAACAAAAGAACTATTCTATCTAATTTATAAATAGGTACAAGACTATTCATGTGCAAATGATGTAGACAAAAAAAAAAACATATTAAACGTACAAATGTTAAAACACATAAATATCATGTATAAATATTAAAACTAAAACCATTAAAACTGTTTTCTGTAAGTCAACAAAGCAGGAAAAATGAAAAGTAAAAAATGTATGCCTTTCCTTGGCAACTAACAGAAAAAAGTTGAAGGACTAAACTAAAATATATGTAAATATATGTAAATATATAAAACAATGACAAATAGCTATGTCTGCTCTTAGTTAACTGTCTCTATTAGCCTGTACATATGGCCTAAGTGATTTAAAGACGAAGATTGGCTACTGTCCGTACACTGACAGTATTCAATCTGCTCCAGTCTCCTGGGCCCAGTTTTTCAAAAAATGTAATCTGGATCAAATTGATCCGGATTTGGAAATCCCATGCTTTGCTATCCAGGATCACCTGATCCATCTTACTTTTATGCCAGTTTTTTAAAGGAACATTGGATTGGATCACTGTGATCCAAATACCAAATTTCAGGATTACCAAATCCTGTTTACCAGAGCCTTAAATGGAACCAACAGTGTAGCCTACTGGCTTAGCAAAGAACAACAGGTAGGCAAAATACCGGTGGCCTCAAATAGCCATTGTTTGTTTTAATTGTATGAAACAGAAACACTGTAATAAACAGAAACATTTTACATTCCTTATTTTGTTATAATGTTAAATATCAAAACAAAAACAATACTATCCAATAGTCAAAAATCATTTACAGGACAGATAGCAGCTCTTTCCATCTCTGCCTTTAGGAGATGTATCTCCATCTGCACGTTAAAGTTTTAGTAATTTTGTTGTTTTCGTAATTTTCAATTTTATTTATTTTTTTTGTTATATGTCTGTATAGATTTATAAATCTTTATTTCAGTTTTAGATTTAGTTATTTCAGTACATAAAGTTAAAATGAAAATTTTCACACACACACACACTTAATGTTGATTTTATTTCAATTGTTTTTTTAAAGTAAAAAGGGTTGTTAATGCCATTTCACATTGACTTTAAAGTGAAAGTCCTGCCCCGAGTGATACGACATGATGCAGCAGTGAAGCACAACTGATTCGCGCAGGCGAATGCGAATGCATTGAGCGTTCAGTCTGTTTCTCCAGCTGGGTTATCAGCACATGCCTGCAGGCCCTGCTCTCATTCCTGGTGTTTCAAAACCCCACAGACAGACCTCCACCTCCACCTCCACCGCCACCTCCCCCTCATCCCGAGAGCAGCACCTCTCCCTGACACGCTGATGAATGCGCCACTGGAAGCAACGCTGCGGTAATTAAAGAGACTGACAGGAACTAGTAATGCATCAGTCTAAACACATGGTTACTATGAGAGGGGTGTTTGATACACTGTCAGCTCAAGCATCACTGAAATTCAGGATTTAATGTATGATCACTGGAAATGAGTTTGACAGCCTGCTACTCCTTAGAAGTCACTACCTTGAATGAAATCAGTGAAGATCTCCTAAAGGTTTTGGTCGGGCTGAGATTCAGATTAGAGTGCAATACAAAATTTGATAGCATCTAAAACCCTCCAGAGAACATGTCTTCTTTAGCTGAGCATGTTAAAATGAACAATGTGAGCACATATTGTCAAACAGCCTTCAGTGAAACAGAGCATATGCTTAAATCATTTATTTATATGTTGTTTTAGAAAATGTATGTGGCGGATGCTGAGTAAACAAGTGAGACACAATGTGTATATGTGAAGTGAGTTTTCTATGAAGAAAAAAAGTCAAAAATAAATGCAATAAATAAATAAATAGCAAGCCTATTTTGGCCATTTAAAACACACACACACACACACACACACACACACACACACA